TACATACACACGTACGTACATACATAAATACATACATACATACATACATACAAATACATACATACATACATACATACATACATACCTACCTTCCTACGTACGTACGTACATACGTACATACGTACACACATACATACACACACACACATACATGCATGCATGCATGCATACATACATACATACATACATACATGCCTACATACCCACACGCACACACACACACACATCAAACTTCGAGCCACCGGTACCGGTATTTACCCGCTTCTCAGACAGACCTTTCCGGGGTGTGCGCACATCTGTCGACATCTGTCGACTCAGTGCAGGTTGCAAATCTTGCTGCCCTTTTCCAGTCCTCTTTCCAAATGCTGGTTCCTCAATGGAGACAGTCGTCCTATCTGTGAGTCATCCAATTTCGACAGACTTCAGCGTCGCCATAAAACCCCGTAGAGCGTGACGGAGTCTAAAGTCGCTCGGGATTGTTCGCAAGGAGATCAAAATGGTGGATCCTGGTTGATTGGTGGGATCGTGATACTTCGGTGTCGCATTCCTCACATACATTGGCCAGCAGAGTTCGTCATCTACTGCAGGTGGAAAAACAAAGTCCTAACCCCAGGAACTGCTCTGGAAGTGACGGCCTTGCCCGGATCTCATCGCGGTCAAGCTCACGCTGATGGGCAGGGGCCGCTCCTGTCGTTCGCGTAGCTTCGTGAGCGACCGGCAACACACGTGTGCATGCGCATGTGTGTGTGTATATGTATATACATATATATATATTTTTTTTTTATAGTTATTTATTTTTTGTTTATTTATTTGTTTGGTTATTTCTTTATTGAATTGTTTATTTATATTTATATTTACATTCATATTTACATGTACGTGTATATTTATATTTATATACATACATATACATACATATTTATATATATATATATGCGAGCGTGCATGTCATGCACAGAGGGACAGAGACACTGACAAAGACACAGAAGGTGACAGAGACACGGACAAGAATAGGTAGGTAGGTAGGTCGGTCGGTCGGTAGGAGGTAGGTGGGTAGGTGGGTGGTTCTGCAGATCGGCAGATCGTTAGAGTGGACAGATCGGCAGTGCACGTCCATCTACCTATATATGGAAAGAGATGGCTTGGATGACCTTGTCACACAAGGCTCGACGAGCCTTTTCTGGATTCGGCTGATAAGAAGCATCAACAAACTAAGGTTTCGGCCTGAAGTCCGGCGATGTACTGCAAAGCCTAACAAAAAGCGTGAGGACCCCAGGCCTCTGTTCAAAAGGCGGCCCAAGCTCTGCATCTCCTTGCACTGGCGGCTTTCACTCCGTCGCAGTCTGCGATCTGGCCCCGGCCTGTGTTCGGACCCGATCGAGCTGAGCAGCAATCCCTTCCGCAAGCACCTGAACGAGAACAGACTCCCCAATCAAAACACTTGACTTGAGTGTGCTTGGAATTACATGCGAGGTGTTTCATGCCACGAGGTGTCAACTGCACTGAAGTAGAACCAACGTTGGCTGGCCTTGATGACTTGCATCGGGTTGTTGGTTGGCACCATCATGAACCCCTGGTCGCCAGTCACACTGGCCAGCTTGCAGAGACTCTCCTCCCTAGTCCGTGAAACCTATGGGAGAGAATAGTTGCAACGTGCAGCCGTACATAGCCGTACCACGGTGTCTTCTGATTGGTTTGGGCTTCAAACAGCACACCTTTGAAATTTGTGAAATGTACCCAACCTTCAGCAGATGCACGAGGGCGTTCACATCCAGCTCCTGCGAGCGTGCTTTTGCACTTGCCGCACAGCCTTTGAACGAGAAGAGAAATGCGAGTGTCCGATATGGCATGAGCCGTCTGCGCCTCTGAGCGCAAGTACCGTCTAGATGGGGCTGGGGTCGGGATGCTGTCGGGGCAGAGCAGTCGACTTCTTGGGCCCGTTGAACCCGAATGTCATCGAATCCCACACAGCCTGAAGACGCCCGAGGACTTCTTTGCCAGCGCACTCCACCAGAGTATCGGATCCGTTCACCGGAACCTCGACAGGAGAGAGCGCGTCGGATGCACTGTATATCGGATATCGAGAGCTTCGTTTCTTCGCGGTCTCTGGTAGGCCCACCAGTCATAAGAGACCAGCTGTCTTCCAGATTCGGCTTTGGGTGACCGTTTATGGGCAGATGCCTGGCCTGCCTGTAGTGCTTGCAGTCTTCAGTCCCTGCTCTTCGCAATTCTCTGGTCAGCCCATCTGACGCTGAGATCATTGCAGTGTGTTCCCGGCAACCGAAAGATGCAGAGATGTCTCGAGGCTCTGTGCATCTTCGCTGTCTGGGCTTGCGTTGCTTTACTGCGGAAGCATCAAAGACTTCTTCTTCCGACGCTCTCTGAATCTTGCAACATTCAATCACAAGGCCGCGGCCATCGCGTACGCACTGACCTCAGCCCGGCTCAGCCCGGTTCCCAAGTCCAGGGCAAACAAAGCTGTTCTCCAGCTTGGACCGGGGCCGAGTTGGCTAGGGACTGCTCGGAAAACTCCCGCATCCGTGCGACCACCCAGGGCCTTTGAAAGCCAAGCCATGCCAGAAAGGTGCCTGACTACATGATAGAAGCGAAGAGCATCTGGCAGGTCTACCTGCGCTCTGGCTGAGCTAGCGGCAAACAGGCATGGAAAAAGTCCAAGACCTGCTTTGTCTGGAGTGGGCCACAAGGATCAACTCTGACTTTTGCTCTCCGGCTTCGTCTCTTCTCAGACGCCAGGCCTCTGGACTGAAGCTCTCGAGGGTGGCCGGAGCCGGTGCCAGTTCGTCTGAGTTCCCGACAGCCTCCCGTACAGCTTTTGACTCCCGGCAGCCCAGCATCAACCAAAGGCCAGAAAAAAATTGCAAGTAAGCATTCCAAAACCCGAAACGAGAGGTTACCACCTACTCCTTAAGTCCCTCTTTTTTGGAGGCCTGGGTCGCTGCGCTGACTGAGACATGGTGCGCCTTGGCACTGGCCAGGAGAGTCGAAGACACTTCCTGGCAGCTCTCAGTATTAAATTCATCCAGCAATAATTATATTTATTTATTAAATTGCATAATATTGTTATTATCATGACTAGTAGTAGTAGTAGTAGTAGTCGTCGTCGTCGTCGTAGTAGTAGTAGTAGTAGTAGTGGTAGTAGTAGTAGTAGTAGTAGTCGTCGTCGTCGTCGTAGTAGTAGTAGTGGTAGTGTTATCATCATTATTATTATTCTTGATGTTTTCATAATATTATGATCATTATTATTATTGTTATTGTTTTTATTGTTGTTATTATCATTAGTATTGATAATTGATATTCTTATTCTTATTATTGTTATTACTATTGGATATATTATGTATGTATGTGTATATATATATGAGCATATATATATATAAACATATACAAAAATACATACATATATATATGTGTGTATATATAAATATATATGTATATATAAGGTGTTCCATACTTTGGGGGATCGCCGGAACGGAACCTCTCGGGCTCTGGGGCAAGGAACTCAACGGCCAGGCCTGCGGCTTGAAGCTTTGGAGCTGCTTCGTGCAAAGCGGAAGGAAGGACAACCTCGTGGTGGGAGCCCCAAACCCAAAAAGGCAAGGAAGAACAGAAGAAAGGATCCATTTTGGCTTCGTGAGAGTCGCATCCTACGAGGATCGGGGTGCTTTGCCTCTGGTCTGGGGACTCGAAGAGTCTAAGGCTCATTCCGACATACCCCGACCACATCTGAACGAAGCATAACACGCAGCTCAGTAGCACCGTCTGCTGCGTGAGTGCATGCTTTGGCCTGGCCGATGCCATGAGATCTCAAACGACAGGGCGGAAACAAAAGGTTTAGGACACATGAAGCCGCAGCCTGCGAAACCAGTAATGATGTAGCATGTCAAACACACTGCAGTCCCGGCAATGCCCTGCGCGCCTCACGCGTGCAAAGGCCCAGAGGATGTTCGCCAAATGCTGCGACTGCAACTCCTGCAGAACAGAAGGAGTCCGACACTCGGCTCTGCAAACTTTTCAACTTGGGATGCCTCACCCGCATGTGCAGGGCCCCCGTATGTTGACAATCGAAACTCGATCAGTCATATCAGATGCTGCACGGCAGTCCATTCGTTGAGCGACCACGGCAGCTCTTGCATAGAAAGCCTCTCTTGGAGCAATGGGCCGTGTTGGCAGAAGCATGGTCACGCTCCTTCACCTAGCAAAGCCTCATGCAATGTGCACAGGCAACAACGTGTCAACTGCTAAGCCTGCTCCTACCAGCGTGGCCTCGTGGAAGAAGCTGTTGGTTGCAAAACCCCACAGCATGTTCGAGATCTCCTCGAACTCTGCAGGCATCTTCAAGTTCGATATCTAGGCTACACCTCCTCCAACTGAAACATCTTCTGTCTCCTGTGGCTTGAACTCTTCGAGTCTGCGAAGAGCCTGCTCCGCCAACTCGTTGAACCTTGGGGGCCGGACTCTTCGACGCGTCCGTCTACGCCCAGCGGCTCTACATCTCTCTCACTACGGTCGTCCCGAGCGGTTTTTCAGCTTCAGCCAAACCTACGCTTCTCGGGCCCGAGATGCAGAAGGGCCTTCTATACAAAAGCGGATCCTGTGCAAAACCTGGGGCCAGAACAGAGCATCATCGTGAAAATCTGCTGTGCCGAAGGCCCAGGCCTGAAGAGAGACACGGCTTCGAACGCCATCCTTCCCTCTGTAACCAGAGGCTGCTAGCACGTCACAAGGTTGCTTCCAGCATGTGCTTGCAGTCTGCATCCTTATCAAAAGATCTTGCAGTTTGCAGAACATCCACGAGGTGCAGGAGTCTTCTTGAAGGTGCAATAGGACTTCTGAACCTGACAAAGAGTCAAAGACATCAACAGAACAAGAACAGCTCCAAGGTGCCGGCCGTGTTGGCCATTTCCTGCAACTCGCAAGACCCAGGCAGAAGTCAACGCCGCTTCTCAAGAAAGGCCCAAAGCACAAATGCACGTAAGAACGAACAGGCGTACACCGTGCCAGTAGTTTCCTCCATAGCTCACCGTCTTCACAATCTCAACACCACGCAGTCCCAAACCGAAGAAGCAGAAATATCCAGCCGGGAGTCCAAAGTTCCACGAGTTGCAACAAGATGCAAACAGTGCAACCGTGCCTCTGATGCAGAAAACCCACCAGAAACCAAGACGGAGGAGTGAGCGAAGGGAAAGGGAGGGGGAGAGGGAGGGGGGAACTTCCTCCAGACACTGGGGGTCATGCGCGCTTGCACTGCCGAAAACCGCTTGATGCCGCAAAACCCAAGCGCAAGCCAGACGTCAGAGAATTTTCGCAATTGGTGGGCCTGGCAGTTGGCTCCAGCAGCAGCAGGTAACATGGCTGCAGCCATGCTGCAGAAAAGGCGCGCATGTCGCTGCCTCAGCGGCAGCGTTGCTGCAAGGTGATTATGACGCTTAGCAATCAAGCTGCGTATACATGCATGTACAATCATGATTCTGCCCACTCCTGACTGATAAACCCACACACACACACACTTGTCTCCATGCCTGCACCCTTGCCAACATCTTGGTACAAGCGTGCATGCATATCCCTATATATACATGCACCGATCCATCCGGTCCGCCCATCCATCCAACCATCCATCTATGCATGAATGCAGGCAAGCAAGCATCTGGCAGCCCTCTGTGATGGGAACCAGCACCAGGCTTGGCAAGCGTGCATGGCTTGGCATCATGGGGGAGACGTACATGTAAGTGTTTCAATCCGCAGACGCGATTTGCACCCTCACCTGGCTCTAATGTTCAACGCATGACTTAGGTGATCGGTCCCCCAACCACCACTGCGAGCTAGAGATTCTCTGCTGTTTTATCATCGTGCACCTGTACGATCTCCAAGGTGCTAATTGCGCACATGTGCCACAGTCGCCTCATCGTGAAATTTGAGGTGCTGACCTTGACGTGGCAAAAGCCCATGCTGTTGTGGCCAAACATCGAAATCCAAACCTGCCAGGAGACAACTGCAAGAACAACCACAATCAAGCAAACCATTGACCCAATGTACTTGGGGCCAGCCGTTGACTGCCCAGTAGATCCAAAGAGGACAGATAACGGCAAGAGGACTTGCAAATTTCGGAGTGTGTGGGCGTTCCTGACCCTAATTCCTTCCGAAGAGGAGGTCTCTAAAGCTGTAAACCACCACGCAGGCAAACACCCGAAAAAGAAGTGTCACCAATTCGACTAAGGAGCTCTTTGACGTTGTTGTGTATGTGCGTCGCGGCCTCAAGTGGGCTGCGGGCAGCGATCAGGTCTGCAACAGTCACCCGTGTCGCAACGAGACTGACAAGACTGCAACGGACCCGTGCCGCTCGCTCACATCTGCGGGGATTGTTTATGTCTTGGTCCACTCCATGCGCGGGGCTGGGCGGTTGACAAACAAGGACGAATTAGAAGTCTTGGCATGTCCAGGAAATAAAGGAGATCGGTCTCAGAGCCTAAGTCCCAGAATTCGCACCAGGATAGTTCAAGTTGAGCGCGCTGCAGCATAGAAAACGGCCTTGTCCACAGGTGCTGCATCCTTCCGGATAGGGCCAGTCTTTCCGAGCATGTAAACTGCTGCTCCAGCGACAGCTCTAAACCAGCCAGACCGGGCGATGGGGATGAAGCAGGTCTATCATGATCGCGGCTGAGGCGTCTCCGAGAGAATTCTGCCGCATCAGCAGAGTGCGAGAGTCTGTCCTCCATCGAGCCGAGCTTCGCTAGGGCCCACAACGTGGTTGAGAGCTCGAAGCTTTTGAATTGGGCCTGCACCGCCCATAGCACCCCTGCAAGGCAGCCTAGAAACAGTCTGTAGTGAGAAGTGTCTACAGTGCAAGGGCGAACTGCTGCATGCCAACAAGTAAGTGCCGGAATTGCAGTATTCACTTTGCCGAATCTGCTGCGGAAGCTGTGCGATAGGTCACAGCTCCGTTCAAATTGTCAAAGGCTCAGAACGGTCATAACCACCACGGTGGGCATTAGAGCTTTGACGGTCTGTCATCTACTCAGGCGTCCACTTGTTCCTCCATGTTTCTTATGGGTTGTGCTTTACCCTCTGCTTGCTTGCAAGCTGGCTTCACGGATTGCAAAGGCATGGCTCCCTTGCCGAAACCTGTTCTCGTTCCTACCACTCCGGCCGTCGAGCAGTAAACCAGTGGCTAGTCCAGCAGGAACTACAGCGGGAGACGCACACACTCCGTACCATACCAAACAAGTGCTGCCGCAAAAAACTATCTTCTTGCCGAACGGCTAGTCCCTCATCTTTCTTCTGGTCGACTGGGGTACAGGCAGTGACATCTGCATGTTATGTCCGTCTCTCGCTTTGTTCCTCTTCGTTCTGAAACATGAGTCCACCTGACACCCCAACACAACGGAAGACACAATAAATAAACCAACAAAGCTCTCCAGGCAGTGCTCTGCATCTCCCTCGCTCTCTCTGTCCCGATTTCAAGCTTCCTTGGCCAACGGGAACACAGCACTCTCATGATTACCGAGATTCACAAGCACTCCGAGGGCGACACCATATTGGATATACACACCAGGGATATTACCTGGCGCTGTGCGGGCTTGTTGGGAAGGCTGCGTCAGCCGTCAGCCTTTCTCGGAGGGACTTTTCTCCGACTCACTCGAGGTTGGGAGCACGATGAGCACTCTTAACTCCTAACAACATGCGAGAGCTTTAAGATTTGCATGAGCCACACAGCGGTTCCCGGAGATCTCTGTGCACTATAGGTGTCCATCTGCAGTAGTGGCCTGGTCTCATGTACCCCTGCTATTTTCCCAGAGAAAACGATGCCCTCTGAGGCCCCTGCCTGCAGAAGAGGCCTGGCGCAAAAGAGAGGCCGCGGTTTAGGCTTTAGGCTTAGGGTTTATCGTTTCAGATAATCGAGACCACGCGTGAGAGCTCAGACTTGCAAAACCGGATTCGTCACAGCCCAGAAGGACTTAGGCATGGAACAGCATGAACTTCTGGCAGCGCATGCCTTCAGACGCGAGATTTCCTACTTTGATCCGTGGCGGCGTGCCTATGAACGATCCTCAGGGTGGCCAACGACCAGACCACCTTTGAGCTTGTTCATTTCGTGTCCCTGCTTCCGCCTATTTCGACTGTAAATGTGTCCAGCTGCACATCTTAATGCTGCTCTAGCAGCTCTGGCATGCATGCTCTGCAAAACACGCCAACCCGGAAAGCATGGCAACAAAGTCCCTCTCAGCAGGGCTTCTATATCCACTATTGTCTCAGATCCGGACATTGCTCACAGACTGCGGCTGCACTTCTGTGGCTTCCACGACATTCAACCTTTCTTGCAGGGTATCCTATGACTGCTTCGCGAACCGCTTCAAGCCTGCCCACCGGCACCGATAAGCTCGGCATGCCCGGACTTTGAAAGCCAGGCAACGCTGTACAGACGCTGTTGAGCAGCGTGTTCAAAGAAGGATTTTTCCGCAGCTGCGCCTGACGAGTGCGAAGACAGTTGACCCGCAGAGCTCAAGGTCTCGTAGGTAGCTGCTCACGGTGAGTTCGCCTGCCCTGTATTAATGTCGAACGAATGCACTGAACATAGGTCAATCGTCCATCATCTGGTTGGGGCAAGTCGGAAAAATGGTTGGCTGCGGGTATGGGTAGAGGTTGGGAAAGCCGTCGGGCTGTTTATCCTCCCTTCAAGACCGAAACACAACACAGATGCAGGCCACCTGCTGCCATGGATCTGACCCTGCGATTTTGGCCACGCGGTGGATTGCCGTGGACAGGTTGACAAGATTCATCTGGGGCCTGCCAGACACAAATCTGCAATAATCCCAGTGCCCCATTTACAATGGAGCTGGAAACAGCCTCACTGTCACGAATGCACTAACCATAGGTGTATTCAGCGCCGGACAGATGTTGAATGATCACCGACATCCTCAGCTTGCATATACATCTCGGAGATGAAAGGGTTCGCTGCTCAAACACCTGAACCTCAAATGTGACAAAACGAGGAGCCCCCGTTCGGCTCCTAGTACACTCGGTGTTGGGACGCTCGAAAACCACTGACACCCCTGACTGCGGCCAAAGCACAGGTGATGCACATCTTTCCCATCAGATGCTTGGATGATCTGAGAATTAATCCATGGATGGGTGCCTGCAACCAGCCCGCCCCACACAATCAGCAAATGGATGTCAAACGAGACATGATACAATGCCTGTTCGACGTTTCCGGAAACCTTCGAGTGGAGAAAGCCCCGCTTGGTGTGACCAATGGTCTTGCAACACCACTATGATCGCACAGGCTTCAAGCCACGGCCCCATTCTCGCGGTTGGAATCAACTCATTGAACGCAGAAGCGACGGTTGAATCACCATGGTCCTGAGGATCGTGCCCCCCCCCCCCCGGAGCTGCAAGGCTCCATGCTCAGACCCGCTCAGTAGCCAGGAGGACTAATGACTAATGGACCCTTCCTTCGTGCAGCCGCTGCACTGCACTATGTGATACCGGCACCCCTGGAATCTCCAAGCTCTGACCGAACTGTGACAGCCCAAGGCGGCAAGTAAAGCTGCCTCCTCGTCCTCCCCTGGGCTTGCGACCCGCAGCGCCCTGCCGAAACTGCCGCGTCTTGCTGCAACTTCGAACCCGGACGCAGATTGAGCCTTGCCCTTCCCAGCAGCTTTGCCGGGAGGGCCCATGATAATCCGAATTCGGCACGCCTCGGAAGCAGACGCCTAAAACGTCTCAGGAAGGCCAAGGACGCACCTCAGAGCTACAGTCGCCACTCTTCATGCCTGAGGCCGCAACAGTTCAGACTGTTTGTGCTGCAAAACAGCAATGACATTAGATGGATTTGAAACTA